AGGAGTCCAAAGGGTAAATCTTCGCGTAAATTGCCTGGAAAATCTACATCAAGATCTCCTCACTCCCGCTCCCGATCGAAGTCAAGGTCACCGTCTCCAAGAGGGTACGCTTCGCTCCTTCTTTTATGTTTATGCTAAAGATTCACCAGATAACATAGCATAGGCTTGTAGCTCTTGCCTTGAAGTTTGTTGACATCTCTTGAAAAGAAGTCATTGGGGACTTCAGAGTTGCTGATTGAGAACGATGATTTGCTTTTGGAAGTCTGGCCTTTTATTGCTGAGAATGGTTTTGTTTCCTAGATATGGATTATGGATATACATACAATCAACTAAAATAGGGGAATTAATATCTGGATCATGGATTTCTTGGTTGGGTTGTACACAACTGTTTCGTCTCAGAGGTATATGCTCTTTCTTAGACGGGAAACTTTGGAATTGACACTTCCTTTTCTCCTCGTTTTCTGATGATATCCGTTGCTGCTAGATGGGTAACAATGGAGACACATTGGATCGCATTGATAAAGTGTCATCAATATGGATCCATCGATGAGCTAGGAAAGATATATTCATTAGCTGCAAATTCAACAAGCTTTATGGATTCTCATGGAACCGATGCTGTTCTGGACAGAGGGTTTGATAGTATTAGATTTGCTTTTAAGACTTTCATCTCTGCCTGTGTGTGTTGTCTAGATATCGTCTAAAGTGTTGTCTTTTTCTTTTGCTTTTTCTTGTCATAACATTTTACATCTCTGACATGGAATGAGGCATCAAGGCTCATGGTGAAACAGCTATTATACACGGAAAACATATTGGAATTTTAAAACTGGATTTGTTTCTCGGACTTTTGCAGATCTCGTTCAAGGTCAAGATCTCCTCTGCCTTCTGTAAGTGATCTTTTATTTCGATACACTTTACTCCGCTCAGTTAATAACAATTTCGGTTTTTGAGCCAGGCCATTCAAAAGACAAGATCCATGTCTAGCTAATTTACATTGGTAATCATCTTGAAACTTGTGTTGCAGGTTCAGAAGGAAGCAAGTAAGAGTCCTAGCAAGCTGAGCCCGGC